ATTTTGTTGTAGGATTGAGCAGAACCATAACTGAAAAGACCTGAAATGGGCTGTATTGATATTCAGTGACAAGATCTGATACTTACCAGATAAGGTTAATTATGGGATCTGGAGTAGACACTTAATATGTAAAGTCAGCAAATTCTGATTTTTAAGAGATTTTATGTGGAGTGTAAAAGATTAAAACCAATAACAACAACAACAAACCAGTGCAGAAACCCTCTCTTGCATTTGTGAGATTAGGTAATAATAACATTACTTTTCAAGGTTTCTGTGTGTATGTGACTATGTGTCTGTGTTACAATAAAATTTTATTTATAAAAATAGAAGGTGGACTAGATTTGGCCCAAGGACAATAGTGTGGAGCCTATGCTCTAGAGGGAATCAAATACTCCTCAGAAAGTAGACTGGGTCATCTATCAGCCTACTTCTAATTCAAAATTTTATGGTGTGCTGTTGTGTCTAAACACGTATTGGGATGACATGGATAGGCCTTGAGGGCATTAGGTAAGTGAGATAAGCCATACAGAGAAAGACAAATACTATGTAATATCACTAATATGTGAAATCTAAAAAAGCTGAACTTGTAGAAGCAGAATAGGTGGTTACCAGCAGCTGGTGTGATGGAGGGGTGATTGAAGAGATGTTGTTAAAGGGTAGAAACTTTCACCTAGAAGATGAATAAGTTCTTAACTTTATTTTCAGTGTTGGTGTTCCTTTTGCATACTGTCTTATTCAGGACACAGACTTAACAGAAATGCATGTTATATGGTAACTTAACCTCTGTGGCAAAAGCCAATGGAAATGTGGGAATAAGGAAGTGGTGGTTTTGGAACCCTCATATCACACCACATTAGTGACCATGTAAACCTGACTTAACTCACCCTAAAAGCCTCCTAAGATATTTTAAACACTTCTCAAGAAATAATTTAGTTCAGAGATATTCACTGCAAAAATCAAATATTTGTAAACTCTACATTTTAAACTGTACAGGTATTTCATATGAGAACTATATTTTGTGAGATAGCAAATTTTATGTTATATTATTTTTCCTTTTTATAAAGGTGACATATGTATAGTATAATTTTTTTTTCAAATGATATAGGGTGTTGTATCAGAGAAAGATATTCAGTCTTTTCCCTGGTTCCTGGCATAGAGCTCCTAAAACCTTTGAAATTTCCTGAGTGATAAGGGTGATAGGATCTTGTGTTCTGATGAGTTGTGGGTAAGTAGCTCCTATAGCTTCAGGATAGTAGCTGGTATCCAGAAAGACCAAATCTTACTTAGAAGTTTGGAACTTTCAGCTTCAACCTCCAGGAAGGAGAGGGAAGCTGGAGACTGAGTTAGTCACCATTTGCCAATAATTTAATCAATCACTAATATATCATGAAACCTTCTTAAAAATTCCTACTGATGAGATTCAAAGAGCTTGTCAAATACATCCACATATCAGGAGTGTAGCACACCGCAGCTCCATAGCAATAAAAACTCTTATGTTTAGGATCCTTCAAGACTTTGCCCTATATACCTCTGTATCTGGCTGTTTATTTGTATCCTTTACCATAAACAAGTAAATGTAAGTAAGGTATTATAAAATCCAAGAAAGTAGTTGTTAATCTCAAGAAAAGTAATCTTGTAATCTTTACTTACTTAAGTAAATCTTAATTAATTAAAAAATTAATTACTTAATTAATTACTTAATTAAGTAATCTTGTAATTACTTACTAAAAGTAAGTAATCTCAAGAAAATCTTGAGAATCTCAAGATTCTAGACAGACAGAAGTATGGTGACCCATACTTCTGACATCTTAGGCAGGGGATAGTTTTGTGGGACTGAGTGTTGGGAGCCATTTTGAGCCCACTAGTTGAGAAAACTCCTAGTGAGATTAAAGCAAGTTTACACGGTCTCTTGCCAATCAGATGACGACCGATATCCACCCCCCACTCAATTATTTCTGCTTGAACACTGACCCCTAAGGTACCTTGTTGATCAATGTCGGGAGTGACTTGTCCCCTTATTCCGGCCCTGGTTTGATGATTGAACCTTGTGAAGGAACTTATTGTGGGAACTTCTTCTTTTGATTATGGGAACAGACATCGTATCTCCAGAAGATCCCGTTTCCCTCCATACTTTCCCTTGAGCTTTGAACAGGCTAATGACCCTTACTCATAAAAGATTGACCTTTACATGTACAATTCTGTTTCTACCATTGCCAGGATGGTTCATACAGCTCATCCTGTTACCAGGATGTTCATACAGCTCAACATGTAAATCAACTAACCAAATATGTCTCTCATGCCCTAGCTATTCAAGAAATCATAAAACTAGACACAAAGGTAAATGCCCTTGAAGAGGCTATTCTATGTATTGGAAATGAGCTAAACTCTTTAAAGGTATGGTTGGCTCTCCGGTACCATAAAGAATATAACTGGAAAATCAAGTCTTTCCCGGAGACAAAGAGCCTAACTTAGAGAGAAGGAAGATAAGGGCAGAAGATAAGTTAGTACATACACCTTTGCTAACTGATGGTGTATAGCAGCCCCTTCCCTAAGGCCTACATTCCACAAACACCTTAAGTCATCTACAAACCTATGACTTAATCTTAGCGTTATTAAAATGTGAACACCTTGTTATTTTCTTGGTTACTCAGCCTCACTATAATTGGGGCAGTTCTGCAAGAAGACTTCTGTAAAATCTGTTTCTGTACATTTTCCAAAAACATCTTATCACAAAGAGCTATCCATTGTAAAAATTCCATTTCCTGATGCCATGTTAACATTTGACCCATAAATAAAGACACCGAAACCGACAGGACGGAGATGACTTCCTGGTGATCAGAAAGGATCTCGGGGCTCTCTCACACTCTCTCGCCGACACCGTCCATCCTTCAGGGACCCCTGGACCTGCCGGAGCCAGCCTCAAACAACTGAGCTCTTAAATTTGTGAGGTCTGACTCTAATTGCAAGTAGTTAGTGTAAGAATTGAATTGAATTGTAGGGCACTCAGTTATTATCAGAGTCAATGTTGGTGTCAGGAGGGAAAAAAAACCTCTCAGAGAGTCAACGTATAAGAAAATTGAAACATTTACAACCCTTCTCACTCCCCAGATAAATATTTAAGATACATAGATAGATATACAAATCCACACATATAGACTTACTTTTTCTTCAAACATAGTTACACACAGAGACAAAAGGTTTGAGATCATAGCATATAGATTTTTTTGTGTCAATGAATAGCATAATTATTGAAAATATTTTCTTTAATGGAATGGGAAGTCATATATATGTGTGTGTGTGTGTGTATATATATATAATTTATTTAAATAATATCAATTATTAAATTTCAATAAAATAGTCATTGTAGTGTCCTATAAGTGTAATGTCTTGGACACACTATACTAAAGAAATATCTCCCTAAAAATTGTAGCATTAAATATTAGGCTTTGACTGTCCATACACTTTTTGTCTTCTCTCCAACTAAGGTGAAACCTGAGATAATGCTAATTTCTATGAAATAGATCTAATGATATGAAAAAGTATTTATTATCTAAAATCTCAAGGTTCCATGCTCCAAGCTAGCTTTTAAAGATTCTTTTTATTAAACCAAATTTCACTGGAACAAAACTTGCAATTTATTGGAAATGGAATACACAAGAGGATGTTGGATGACTGACTCTTTATGTAAGATGAGATATTGTATTAATCAAAAGAGACAAAAGGAGCATAAATCAAATTCCTCATATAAACTAAAATCAATAGGATTCTGTCAGGCTGAATTAAGCAATATAGTATTATTAAGTTCAAATATTTTCTACTGTGGTTAAATGATTTTATTTATTTTTATATGAGTTCATTTTTCCTTGCACATAGAATCTAGAGTTATACAATTTTTGAGCACAGGGAGACAGTCATTCAGTACATGGGTTGAGGTGCAAACTCATTTGGGATAAATACTGCATTTTCTTCATCTGCAACTCAATACAGTGATTTGCACAAGTATATCTAATTTTTTTAATTTAATTGAATCAAAAATAAGGAGGTTGTATCCTAACAAGTTAAGTGACTTATCCAATAACTAATAAAGACTTAGATATAGCTAGGCCTTAGACTTTATTTTTTATTCTAGACAATTAATAGTAGTATTATTATACCAGACTTTTCTCAACATAAATTTCTTTAATTATGTGAATGTATTGGATATGGCAGTTTTTATCTGTGGAATTTTATAGTGGTATGGTTTATTTATATTTGAGATTCTATACTGAAATGTCCATGAAGGATAGGACACATAAAGTTAGTCACTTTGAGGTCAGTGACAATTCTATGATAATCATAACAATGAATATATCTCACTAAAATGTGTCTAAATGCATAATACAAATTTATCAAGGGGAACGATTGTGCAGTTTATTGCCTTTGAGTGACTATGTGTCAAAGTAGGTTCATCAGCTGTAATTAACACTCTAGTATGGGAGGTTGATAGTGAGGGAGGCTGTGCATGTATGAGAACAGGGGTATATGTGGAATTTCTGTACCTTTCCCTCAACCTATAACTGCTCTAAAAGTAATAAGAATTTTTAAAACTCAAAAATATTAATAAGAATTAATTGATGATTAATTGAAATACTTCATCAATAAGTATTATCAAGGAAGTTAATTATATGCATGGAAAAAAAAAACGAACAGGGCCAGAAAAAACAAAATATATAAATAATTATAATAAATATATTCTTTAATTGTACTATGAATAGTTGATAAACTACACAAATACTATAAATATTATGGGATTTATACACATGTAAAAATGAAACACATGTCAACATTACGAGGAATGGATGGCTCTAAAATTTTTATACTTTATGGAAATAATATAGTATTATTCAAAATTGTACTATGATAACCCCAGAACAATGTTTCTCAGATGAATATGATTACTCCTCTACCCCCTCACACATACCCACACACATACACACACACACACACACACATGTACTTACATATACATACACAGGGTACAATCAGCAATGTCTGAAGATGTTTATGGTCATCAAAACTGAGATGTGCTACTATCTTCTGGTATAGTCCAGGGATGTGTTACACATCTTAGAGTGCAGAGGATAGGCCCTACAACAAAGTGAGAATTGTCTGACTCAAAAATATTGTTGGTGATTAGGTGACAAATACTGTTGAAGATTTTAAAAAATTATCTTAATTTTTTAAAAGCGACATATAAAAAAAGCCAATAGTGGAGATAAAATGGAATATGAAATGTTATACTCAATTATTCCAGAAATAAGTCCAGAAAAGAGAATTACAAGAATAAAGAACAATCGGAAAAATAGGAAATACCTTGTAAAATGCTAGAATCAGATCTAACTAGAATTACATGAAATCGCATTAAGATGCAATTTAGTTGACATTATATGTGAATGCTCTAAACACCTTTGATTAAAAGGCAGAAGTTTTCAGATTGCAAAAGGGAGCAAGGCTCAAATATATGCTATATGACTCAATTTAAATGATAATATAGATTGGTTAAAAAAATTTTAATGTGAAAATATGTCCCATATAAGCATTAATTACAAACAAAGTAGCCTGGTTATAATAACAGTTAAAGTGGAATTACAACAAGGAATATTACCAGATATAAATAAGGGCATTATATGATATAAATTTTAATTAATATAGAGGACCTAGAATCCTAAATGTGTATCAGACAAAGTTTCAAAATATGGGAAGCAAAACTGATACAGCAAAATAAGAAATAGACAAATCAACAATTACAGTTGGCCAAATCAGTACTACACTCATTAATTGGTAGGACAAGCCTACAGAAATTTAATAAAAACATAGATAATCTGAACAATACTATCAACCAACATCATCTAACTGATATTTATAGACTACTTTCTACCAAGAACTGGTTACATATTATTTTCAATTGCACATGGAACATTCACTATGATAAGCAGAATTCTAGGGCATTAAAAAAATTCAAGAAATTCAAAGATTTGTTCAACATATTCAGCAAATTCTACAAAATTCAATGTCATGAATCACAAAGAAAAACTGAGAAATAAATACCTCAGTTCAATATGCCTGAAATCAAAATTACTTTTTTCCACCCAACATGTTATTACATCTGATTTTCTTAATTGTAAATAGTGACAATGCCACACACACCACACTCACAGATCATTCAGAAGATGACGATAACATTTTATTGACAATCTTATTCACCAACATTCTAGGTTTACAAATTACTAAATTCTACTGATTTTACCACTGAAATATTCAAATCCACTCACTACTTTTTTAGGTTTTTTTTTTTTAATTATTTTTAAGAGAGACAGAGACAGAGAGAGAACATGAGTGGGAGAGGAGCAGAGAGAGGAGAGAGAGAAATAGAAAGTGCCCTTCTATTCCTCTGAACATTAAGTTCCCACCACCCTCCCCATTTATTAGGTTATTTACATGATTACTTATATACCTCTGTACTTTTGCTTATGCCTGAAACATCTCTTACTCCATCTCCACCACCAAATCTATACTCATTCTTTATGCCATGCTTGGAAATCAACTCCTCTGGAAAGCCCTTTACCAATCACTATGCCCCCAGCAACATCTTAGCATTTCTTTTATTCTCTCTTATGAAAATGGCATGGAAATGATATGAGGGTTAAACATTATAAGTAATGATATGTTTGTTTCACTAGTTGTTAAACTATTCTTTCTTACATAGTTGAACCATATACCATTATACATATTCCAGGTCCAAGGATATATTGCATATACCAGGCATATGTTTGTTTAATGAATAAAAATGAAATTCAAATTTTAAGAACATCATTTAGAATTCATTTGCTGCATTATGAAATAACTATTTATGAAGAGGTTATCTAGAAAGTACTTTTGTTAGTTTACTTACTTGTCTTAAGGTTGAACTACCTTGGAGAAAATTTTATTATGTTTTAGAACAGACTTTATTTATAATCTACTTTCAGAACTTCTGTATCAGCCTGATTGGAACATCTATATTACCAGTACTACAAATAGGCTTCTGCAATTCGTATTACCACCAGTGTACCTGATTCCAGAAATAAGATGCTTTGCTTTGTTTTATTTCTCTTTTTCCTTAGCAATTTACATCAATGGCAATAGCCACACTTTTCATATTGTGCATTTTTAACCTCAGTTCCCTTACCAGTAAAATAATTTAATTAGATAAGATGATTTCTAATGTTCCATTTAATTCCTAATATGTGTCATGTGCTGATATTTGCATATGATCTCTGGCAGCAGCCACAGATTTGGTGTGTTATTTTACCCATTTACATTTACTATCAGCATTTAAATTTCTGCTCCTTGTTTAATGGAAATATTATTAAAATATTCAGTTCATCCAGGATGGTGGTGCCTTTTACTTTTCAAGACTTTAGCAGGATATGCATGAAATTTCCACAACTGAAAAACTGAGTCAGTGATCCATTCTTAGCCTCTAACTAGTTGTTATAAGAATTTGTTAATATTTTAAATGTGTTCAATTCACATTTTCCCTTTCCCTTGAATTCCCAATGTGACTTTCCCTTCTCTGCCTTTACATGGAAAATGAATACTGATGAGAAAAATTTGATTTGATTTTATAAAATTATATTTATTCTTTGCTTCATCTGTTTTAACCAATACCTTTCCTCATTATGTATTCCAATTTTCTCATATCTTTCATCCACACTAATACAATTAGCTATAGCTGATTTGTTAGGCTAGAATATTTCCTTTCTATGCCTTGATATTTTTGAAGAGATGTTCTCCTCTTCCTCCTATTCATCTTCACCATTCTTATCATCATCATCATCATCATCATCATCATCACCTATCAATAGCAATAATAAAATAATAATAATATGTTATTATTAAGTACCTTTTATGGGTCAGAAAGCATTCTGCGTGTTTTGCAATGTATTTGTCACTATACTATCACTACAATAAATGATATGATGAAGTGAATATTATTAAATTCAATTTATAGATAAGAAAATCGAGACTCAGAAAGATAAAGTAATTTATCTAAGCTTTTATTGTTAGTAAATGGAGAAATCTGGATATGTGAAAAGAAAGGTCTGACTCCAAACCACATTTTACAGGTTCATATTTCTACTTAATAGATTTAATTTAAAATAAACAAACAGGGACACCTGGGTGGCTCAGTCAGTTAAGCATCCAACTTCCACTCAGGTCATGATCTCACTTTTCCTGAGTTTGATCCCTACCTGTGGCTCTGCGCTGACAGCTCAGGGCATGGAGCCTGCTTCAAATTCTGTGTCTCCCTCCTTCTCTGGCCCTACCCCACTTGCACTCTGTCTCTCAAAAATAAATGAACATTAAAAAAATAAAAATAAAATAAACTTGTGCATTATGAGGGTTTCCAAGTGAACATTTTATTAATAAATCTGTATGGAATTTTAGAAAGCTGAGACCAAAATCATAAAATTTGAATGTAAGGAAAGAAGCAGTTTGTCCATGACAGCGCTGTCTAGCCTTACACTCCCCTCATTGAGTGGATCTCTAGGGATTCAGTTTTTCCCTCTTTCAAAAAGGAAAACATAGTTTACCTGTATGAATTTTGTAAAGATGATAGTTGGTATTGTCATTTCATATGAACTTAAAAAAAAATAGTATATGGTTTTGAAACAGGTCAAAGTTAGAATTGCTTTTATTTGATTCTCAAAAAAGTATTTCAACTAGTTTTTTACAAGATGATTTTTTCTGAATTATTATATATTGACGCATACTAAGTGGTCAATTAAGAGACTTCTAATCTGGACAAGATGGTGTAGAATTATTTTTCTCTGTATCCTTCCTCTAAAGACAACTATATACCCTGGAAAGGGTACAAGACACAACCAAAGAACTCTGAAGAGTGGTAAGAAAGACACTGGGAATGGGGGGAAAAAACACAGAGTGGCAGGGCATTTTGTGTTTCCCCATCCAACAGAAGAAGGCCACCCAGAGCCAGCATTTCCCAAATCCTAAATTAGCAATAGAAGGCAAGTCATTCCTCCCTAAACAGAATTCCCTCTGACAAAAACAGGGAAGCCGATACTACTAGAAAAGGGGATCGGTTGGAAGCTGTGACAGAAATAACGAGTCAGAGAGGTACTCTTATGTTCCACTTGGACTGAAACCCCCCCTTATTCACTAAGAGATACCCAAATGGGCAGGCACACAAACCTGGCAGAAAGAGCCAATATATAGGAGGTGGCCTGATCCAGGAAGCCTCATTGTCCCTGCTGTATCCGCACTCACCTCCCCTAACCAGCAAAGGAGAGTAGGCAGCTAGACCTGGAAAAATGGATGCAACCACATCAAGCATCCTGGTCCAAGAAGTCCTTTTGCTTCAGTGAAACCCAGATTCTTCCTCTCTGCCAGTAGCCACTGGGTTGGGCTCCTATGGCAAAGACCCAGCTACATCAAGGGACTCAGCCTGGGAAGCACCTATATTGCTGCAGGCACAAGACTTTCCTCTCCCATCTGGAAAAACAATGAAAAGGAGGGGCCCCAGTAGGGGAATCCCACTATACCCTCCCTGCTGAGAGATACCTGGCAGCCAAGACTAAGGAAACTCCTTCCATACCCCTGAGGCAGCACTAGCAGGGAATAGAAGGAGCCACTGTAGCAACAGCTGAACCAGATTGATAAAAAAAAAAAAAAAAAAACAACGTCTCTGATAACTGAACTAACATTGGTACCATTGCCCACAAACATAGGCCAAGTTCCAGATGCTAAATCTATCCACTAAAATAAAAAGAAATGCTAAATAGAAACCAGATTTTCCTAACACAAGAGACCAAAGGTCCAGTACACAGTAAAAAAATCACCCATCATAGCAAGAACCAAGAAAATACAACTTGAGTAAGAAAAGCCAATCAACTTATGCCAACACCAAAATCAATCATATGTTGGAATTAGCTGACAAGACTTTTAAAGCAGGTGTCAAATAAAAATAGTTCAACAGATAATATAAAAACTCTTTAAATAACTTAAAAAATAGGAAATCTCAGCAAAGACATAGAATTCATAGAAATAAAGCAAATTAAAAATATAAAACTCAAAAATACA